TATTACATTAGAATGTTATTTTCTAGGATCAGAATTTCCAGTGAGCTAAACATGAGATGCAACAAATAATTTACACTAAGACAACATCCTGAAGTCATTACTGTGTTTGGATATTTTTGGATAGCTTGTCTGTTGTCCTAGCAACAATGCTATTTTCTGACAAAAGAACATCGCTGTAAATTTCATTATTGTTCTGGTTTTATTTGTGTGTTCACTGGCTGCGATGCTTTACAAGGACATTTATCTCAGCCAAGAGGTCCAAGTAAGTTAGTCAGTGTAAGTTTTTATTACTTGTGTGCTGTGGTCTTTTAATTCCTTGAATCTACAGTGTAGAAGTTGGTTGGTACAAACCTACACAACCACAAACATGCTGGTGCTCCCATGTAGTCACATAGACATACAGTATATAAGTATGATTTTGTTAAAAAAACAACAGCTTATGCAAATGTAATATTGTCTTTTAAGTACAAGATGGTGCTGTGGTGCAAAGCTAGTCTATGCTAGTCTGTATGTTAGTTTTCTATATGTGTACTTATCTATGATATACTGTAGATCTTTCCTGTTTGATGCTGTATTCCTGTATATTCACATGTAACGTCCTGCTAAGCAAGTAAAACCTAATTCAGCATTCTTCAAGATCTCAGTGCTTCATCTAAGCACATAACTAACAGATTTTCCATCTCATTAAAGAGGAACTTTACCCACCAATTTAATGGTCTACTAAAACTGTTACTTTTGGCCATACCAACTGCCAAGGCTGTCAGTGTGCCTATCTAGCCTCCATCTGTTGATGCAAGTATCCAATTGCTGTTACATGCCATGATATATGGTGTCCATATGATTTAAGGGGAACTCTACCAAGAACTGCTGCACCTGATTAATCATACTGGTAGATGTGAGATATATCGCTATATGCTTACTTAGTACCACTCCTAGTGGAGTCATCCACCCTCCTCATTGTAAATACGAGGCACCTTATAGAGGACCTGTTGAACCCTACATAGGCGAGTTGCTGGGAGCTCAGTTCAGGTGGCATATGATGCGTACGGTATCCCCGCCGCACTGAGTGTACCGGGGAACCGCCCACTGAACCACCTTCTCCCAAACCACCCCATCGTATTTCCGCAGCTGACATCCAGCATACCCGGCCGCCTTGACAGATACGTGCTCTGGTTGTTCTACGTACTTGTTAAACTACACTGCCAGGCCAAAAAAAAAGTCCCCAGCTGGATCTAACTAAGCAAATAGGTAAGAGCCTTCCATTGGACAATAGGTCTAGGATCAGTAACGTTATGTCCCCAAAAAATGAGGTCAGCTGTTTACCTGAATATACTGAATGATCAGGTTTTTCCATCAATAGTATGTCCAATACAGACATATAGTATTTCAAGATGACAATGCCAGGATTCACTGGGCTCAGGTTGTGAAAGAGGAGCATAAGACATTATTTTTACACATGGATTGGCCACCACGGAGTGCAAACCTTAACTCCATTGAGAATCTTTAGGATGTGCTGGAGAAGACTTTACGCAGTGGTCCGTCTCTCCCATCTTCACTACATCTTGGCGAAAAATGAATGCAACTCTGGACAGAAAAAAAGTTGTGACATTGCATAAGCTTATAGAAACCATGCCACGGCGAATGCGTTCCATAATCAAAGTTAAAGGTGGTCCAACAAAATATTAGAGCGTGTGACTTTTTTTGGGGGAGGGGGGCATGTCTGCTGAGTCTGCTGAGATGCTAACAGTTTAGGTCACAAAAAAATACTTTGCACCTTAGAAGCGTTGAATATGATTTGTAAATTAAATAGTAAAAATTTAATTTTAAATCCATTTTAATTATTGGTTGTGACAGGAAAAAATACGAAAAAGTCCATGAGGGGTAAATCGTTATCATAATGTATGTCATTTATGTTTCCAATCAACATACAGTATTAACAAGGTAAAGTGGAACTACACCCTCCTATCCTTTACAGCCAAGAAAGGTGCCATCTTAGCTTCTAATTGGATTGCAGTTGCCATGGTGCTGCACATGTGATCAGCTATGACACCTTGACAGTTGGCTCAGTTTTGGGAGATATTAAATTAGTGGGTAAAGTTTCTCTTTAAAGAGAGCTAAGGATATTCTCATATGTTTGTTAACCTTGCAACATACTGTATATGCAGAACATTAACATATCATTGTGTCAGAAAGAAATAAGCAAAATACTCCCTTTGAAAGCTGAAGTCATTCACCAAACATTCACTGCAGGTGAATAAATCCCTGTAATTTAAAACACATTCACCAGGAATTCAAAATACTCAAAGGGTTACACCACTCCTCCACAGCACACAAGCAGGGGAAAACCAGGTGATCATTGGCGTGGGAGGTCCTCACTCCCACGTTAGCTGCCGTCAAAACTATTTTTTTTTCCAATAATTTCGACATTTACCAGGAAGATACACCTGCAGTGAATGTTTGATGAGTGACACATTCACTGCTTTATAATTATACCCCCAAATATTCTCTGGAACATACTGTATCTTTCTATTAACCCAAGATGGCATCTTGTTGGCACTGAAACCCCATGATGTTGAGTGTAGAGCAGCATTATGGACTTTGCCTATTATCTAGCACAGGGCAGTATAGAGCACAAGCCACCTGTGGTTTAATATCTTGTTAATCCTTTTTTTTGTATGTTGTGCCTTTCATCCACACTACTAAAGAGAAAATGGGGTGCTTAGAATAATAATAAGACTTGAGTAACTGACGACTATGTCTTTTGTCTCGGCAAAAGACATAGATCACAGTTCCATGACCCTTATTGATGGGTACACATCTAGTATGGCAGAGTTCCAAATGTTTTTTGTAGCCCCCCCAACACATATTTATTTTCAAACATCTACATCAATGATCCTATAAATGTATATGATTCATACACACATGTATGCTATCACTGACCATCTATTACATTTTCCGTATGGAAAGCTTACCAAAGCTATTAATATCTTCAGATGCGGGCTTTGTGACAGAGCTAAAATATAAACTTAATCAGTGGATTAGTCTCAATTTGCATTAGAAGCTTCATTCTCTGACTTAATCATGTAGATCATATTTCGTAGTGTTATTAAAGGAACACAACATAATTTAAACAGCCCTCTATTAAACCACCTAAGCCACTTAACAGGAAGTCTGTAATAGATAGTATGAGATAAAGGGATGATGAGGTATAACATTATAAGCAGGAATTGGGTGCTGTAGGCTAGAAACACATGCAGTGTATTACCGTGTACTATTGGCTGTTCACTGGAATAACAAAAACTAGACATGTGCAATTTGTTTCGTTCCGAATCGAAATTCGGATGAAATTTTGGAAATTCGGACATTCGGATGTATCCGAATTACAGAAATAACGAATGCAAACGAATCCAAATTTCCGGTTCTGAAATTCGTTAGCGGTAGTCTGGACGAAATTTCATTTGTTGGACGAAATTTTGGTGCTAGCAAAATGACATTAGAAAAAAAACATAAAACATTTTTTTTTAGCCTGCAGAAGAGGAAAAAAAAAGCGTGAGGTCCCCAGGGAACCCCAGCCCCCCAAAATGGGGAAAAAAACATGGGGTCCCCCCTAACAGTCCTACCAGACCCTTGATCCGAGCAGGGGGGAAAATAAATATATTTGTTTCATTTTTGATTTTAGAGTAAGGAAGGGTTAGACTGTTGGGGAAAGTCATCACTCTATTTGTCCTGATGACCATTGCCACTGGACAGAAAGGGATGGGAAATCCAAAAAGTTTGAGTTGTCATCAGAGCAATACAGTAGGAACACAATAGGAAAATGGGAATTTCCCTCACTTTAGAGAGATTTTCTCTCATTTCCTCTTACATCTCCAGGACAGGAAATGAAGGGATATCTATCCAGTAGTACACAGACAGCAAAAAAATTATTTGAAGGGTTTGATGTTTAAACTTTGCCTACTCTATATAAGGCAAAAAACGAGGTTTGACTTTACATACACTTTAACCACTTAAAAAAATCATAGGATGTACCTGTATGTACTATGGACCGTAGGCAGCTCCTGTTACCTAATCTGCACCCTGATTAGAGAACCTGGAAGCGCTGTGCACTTCCGGGTTCAGAGCTGTTGGATTGCCAGCTGAAAAAATTTAAAACATTCCCAAAGTGGTTAATATCAGGCTCCAATTGCCCTCTGCCTGCCAGTACAATCTAGTATTGTCTTCATTGCTGTTTTACCTGTGCATGCTTTGTGGAATAGTGTATAGGTGTACTTACAGTGTCACCAACCCTCAGTATCTACACTTGGAACCAAACTGCTAAAAAGGTTTGCCTTTCTCTTCTAGTCAATGGCTGCAGGTGTACTAATGCAGAGTGACTCTTTGAGCTTCTCCCCACCCCACCTCAGTATAACTTGTAAGACGATGACATCTGATCTTATTAGATGGATACTAATGCTAGCCAGTGAACAGGAGGAGGGGGCAACACAGGACAGCTGGGCTAGGGGAGCAGTAGGTATAAATCCAGTCCAGGTTACAGCTCTTATTATTCACAATATTCAAGCCAGCAGGTCAGCATGACAGCCAGGAAATAGCTAGCTTCTTTATTTTAATCTCCCTTTTTGACCGAAGTGTGTCTTTAAAACACCTTAGCGCCTTTCATATGCCCTGAGGAATCAAAAACTTAAAAAGTATAAATTTCCACCAATTTACAGCTCTTTTTTTTGCAAACTAAGTTGTGATTATCATTTATGCTTGTTTAAGCAAAATGTATTCAGTCAGGCTAAAACCAACTTCTGTGCAGTCTTTTAGAATCAAAATTGTGCAACCAGGTCTGTGTAGTGGTAATTTTTTCCCTGATCTGCCATATCACATTGTTTCAGATGTCTTATTAAACATCTGTGGCTTTGATGCCTTAAAAGGATGCTGACACTGAGGTGTTTGCATCTCTTATCTTGGATAAAAGATATAGTATTAATAGCTCAACGGGCAGAAGAATGTTATCCTCCCCATTAGCAGTGCCATTGTTTAAGTAATGCGAACCATCAGAACTGAAGTAGTTATCTTCCTTTCCTCAGTCTGCTAGGAAAACTGACCCAGCACACAGCAGGTGAGTGGTACCCAACGGATACCTCATTATAACATCTACCAAGTTTTCGTTAGATGTTGGAATATTGTCTTCTTTTCATGAACAGACAATTACTTGCAAAGGCTTTAAACTTTTTAATATTAAAATAAGATTAAAAAAATGTTATAAGGTGTCCTTAATTCTACTGTTGTGTTCTATTTGACCTGTATGGCATTGTTTAGTACAACAGTATAAAGAACCATCATTGGGTACAAAATACAGACACCTAGAGCAGCAAATCAAATTTCAGTTTACTGAAATGATTGGTGGTATTTAGATTTAATCTGACAAAAAAAATCCAATGTGCTTATTCAGCCAATTATTAAATCAGATAACTGCTGTGTTATGTTTAATAAAAGGATCAAAAGACTTTTTACATGAAGTTGGCTTTGTACAGAGGTAGCAATATATACAGTATGTAAAGTACTACACCTGTGTATTACATGCAGTAAAGCAACATTAGCAATGTTAAATGTTTCCAACATCAAAGAACAAGAACAAGGTAACAGCATTTAATGTTAATATGTTACAATAATATTTAAAGCACAGAAGATGTAAGAATAAAAAGGTTATTATGCCAGGCCCATATAAAAAATGTATAGCTACTTCCTAAACATTGATAGAGAATTAATAGAGTAATAATAGTTATACATCTTTTCTTTACTATTTTGGCAGAGTTTATTGTTTTTCTTTTTAGCCTTAATAACTTTTAATTCTGTCATTTCAAATTTTAGAAACTTAATTGAATGGTTTTTCAAAATATAACAATAAAGACTATCTTTTCCCTAATTTCCATATGTTCAATGTGCACACTTTTCTCTAATTTTCAAAGAACACTACTGTAACATAATTTTACAGTATATGTACTGTTTATCTAATGGAAACTATAATGGTATATCGAATTAAACAAACAAAAGTAGTCTGGCTGTGAGAATTTACAGACTGATAACTGGCAAATTAGGCAAACCAGTCACTGGCCTGGACTAGGCAATTTAAAGCTATTCCATACCTAGAAGTACCAAGCAGTTAATGAACTATGGTAAGAAGCTGGGAGTAGTTGCATGTTCTTCCATACCTAAAAGTACCAAGCAGTTAATGCACTATGGAAGGTCAGCAGGAGTAGTGACATATATTCTACCATACCTTGAAGTACCAAGTAATTAATGCACTATGGAAGGAAGCTGGGAGTAGTGGCATATATTTTTCCATACGAAGCTCCAAGAGATCCCCACCACTCCAATTCTCAAAACCGGACTCACACAACATGGATGTCCCAGGTGTCGGCTAAAGGGTGCATTCTCACCTCCAATAGCTTCTATTTCCAAAGCAGCCACATTCCACGGGTCTTCTTGCATAAAAACAGTCTTTATTGAAATAAATCAGCAAATATATACTATAGTAAACAATCCCCATGTACAAAACTCTAACATGTTTCACCACTCAGGCTTAATCATAGATGTATATGATTAAGCCCGAGTGATGAAACGTGTTAGTGTTTTGCACATGGGGATTGCTACGATGGTATATATTTGCTGATTTATCTCAATAAAGACAGTTTTTATGCAAGACAACCCATGGAGTGCGGCTGCTTTGGAAATATTTTCCATACCAAGTAATTAATGCACTATGGTAGGAAGCTGGGATTAGTAGCACTTTCTTCCATACCTAGACATACCAAGAAGTTAATGCACTATGGTAGGAAGCTGGGAGTAGTGTCATGTTCTTGCATACCTAGAAGTAGTTAATGCACTATGGTAGTGGATAGGGGCTACTTTCACCAGTCCAGATAACTAAAGAAAAAGTAATCAAGTTGACCTTTAGGGCTATAAGATAAAAACTTAGTGTGAAAAGAGCTTATATCGATTGGAAGCTTTCTTTAGTCATGTAGTGATACTAAATGTAAATGTTAAACTCAGAAAGTTTTCAGGACTTTTGCCCTTTGTCCTAGCTTTAGAAATTGTTCTAAACCATGCATGTATGTTCAGAGTATAAATGTCTTTCAAAGGTTATGTTTTCCCTTATGAAAGACCATTATTAAATATCTATTAATATGCAGCTGCAGTGTTAGCAGAGGAAATAGCAACCTTCCTGATACCACTGAGACGTGTCTGTGGTGTCCTATAACATCCATATGTTGAATAAATACGATTTGGAAAGGGCTTTTAGTAACTTTATGTTATTTTATAAGCTGCAGGGCTGAACAAGAAAAATTGCAGGGTATGGCGATCTTATCCCTCTGCTGTACGTCTATCATCTTAGAATTCATAGACAACCCTCCATGTTCAAAACAAGCCTTTTTGTATGCATTGAGACCCCCGATGATTACCATCTCTAAAACATTTGCACGTACCGAAATAAGAAACAAAAACCAGGGACATGTCTTTTTTTGCATTAAATGGATGTGTAACTAAGTAAAGTCTCATTCACACAGGTGACAAAGGGACAGTAAAAACAGACGGTTGCTCTATCTTTTTACCAATTTTACATGGTGGGTGCTGGAGATGGTATACATGGTCGTGGTCATGAAGCTTTTTACAGCAGCTTCCATTAGCTAGATCAGGGGTGTCAAACTCAATTTCATCTCGGGCCACATCATATTGTTGCCCTCAAAGGGTTGGTTGTATCTGTAAGACTATATAAATGTATCTACTCTTTATCATATTAAATACTTGCCTCTGCATTTGATTATTACAGGTTTTAGTAATAACTTAAGTAATAACTAGCTCTGAAAGTAGATGTCTAGGATAAATAATGGCAAACAGATATTCAAGCCCACTCACACTCCTGTAGCAGATGATGCAAGTCTGAAAAGGAGGGTCGCACACTGCTGGTATCATCCACAAGATACTTTATTGGAGACTGCTCAGACAGAACCATAAAGTTTATTGTGGATGATACCAGCTGTGTGTGACCCTCCTCTTCAATCAACATAAAATTGTATTGTTCTCCTAATAATTATAAGCAAATGTCCAGTGCACCCTACCCCCCCTTATGGATTCGGCACACGGGCCTTGTGTTTGACACCTGTGCTAGATGGTGCCACTTGCTGAATGTGTCCATTGTAGTTAATAGAATCAGACCCCAACCATGTACCAAATGCTTGGCACGTGGTTGCGGCTCGGTATTTCGGTATATGTAGAATCCTCCTTGGCATTGAAAGAATAACAGGCACTAAGGAGATGGCAGTATTGCCTCCCTAAAGTCCTGTGAACCAGCTCTAAACCACCTCTAAAAAGTGTAGATTCCTTTTCAGAGGTGTGTTTAATCTTGCCGCTTGCTTGAATGAGGGGCCTAACTGAAAAACATTAGTACTTGTAATAAATTAGTATTTAAGAAGATACACATGAACATTTGACAGACTACCACAGGCAACAATTCCATTATTTCTTCTTTGAATAGAACAACATGAACAAAGCTGTATTTAAATTGTACATTCATCTATATCTCACATATAAATGAGGAATAGTTGTGGAGGGGGATTTAAGCAGAATTGTGTCTCCAGAAGTTGAACAGTTGCAGGTATGTGTCGGGTGTCTATTGGATTACACTGGACTTTGCGGTACCTACTGTATTTCTATTTCACGTTCACTACTTTAGAGCAGTGTTTGGAATCTTTTCCATATTTTCAAGCAGTGAATCATCTTTGTGTAAGGGCTTAATGTGTGTTTAAATGGGGCTAAACATGAAAAGACTAATAATTGTATAATATCACAAGTGTGACTGAATGGAGTCAGAGTAGTCCTTGTATTCCTGTATTTGGAATGTTTTAATGAGACATTCAGGGGATCATTTATTGGAGAGTATGATTTAACTGAGCACAGTTATTGCATGGTTCCTTTCAAACCCCTTTTAGAGGATAAAATGTTCTCATAACCTGAATTCCTGTTTGAAGAAGTACAAGTTCTTCTACGTATGATGGATATCTGCAAAGCAGGATAAAAAAAAACACTTCATGGAATAAACTCTCACCTTAGTACCTCTTGGCTTTTGACGTGCACTGTATACCCTGGGCATCCCCCTCCCTTAAGGACAATAGTCTGCAGGTGCCTGTGCATTGCACCCACAATCCACTGACTGTGGTTGCAATTCTTTGGAGGCTTCAATGCAAAAGAATTAAGTATATCCCTCATATATTACCCCTGTGGAGTAAGTAAAAGGTGGCTCTATCCCAAAATATAGTGAGTATTTGCCATACAATACTCCTTCTAGGGGCTCCAACCCATCTAGTAAACCTCCTTCATGAGTGCTGCAATACACTCAACTTTTGTTTAGGTAAATGCAGAGAGGAGGAGTCAGGCGGAGAGAAGCCCAAAGCAGATGATGGCAGCACCACTTATGGGAGGGCAGCTTCTACGCAGTTAACTATAACTACTGAAAGCTCACGTGATTAAAATAGAAGGTGCTAAGGAACTGATAGATATATGGTAGAGCTGGGCCAGAAGAATAAGATTCGGTTTTGAAGTAAATCTGAAAATAATGGGGAATGTACGTCTTGAGGGAGGTAACTCATAATAACAGTGCGTGTGTAGTGTATGGACCTAGTTATGGTCCAAGGCTGCTGCCTCTCGGTTTGCAATGGGGGGATTGCTCAACCGAAGATCAAATCCTGGACGTATGGTTAGGAGTGCCTCTTAAAAATTCTCATCTTGCCTGAAGGTTCATTCAGGTTGTTTATTTGAATGAAAAGGTCAGATACAACCGATGCTTTTCGGGGGAATTAGACTCCCCCTTCTTCAGGACTTGAGCAACAGTAAGTAATTAATTCAGGGAAAGCTGTATTTTGTAGCCTGAATTTGGGCTGGATGGGTGCTGAAGTGTTAGTGTGACCCATGTGCAGTGAGGACTGGATCTGTGCCTGTGACATTTCCATTCAAATAAACAACCTAAGTGAACCTTTCAGCAAGATGACCATGATGATGCACTCCTAAACACACATCCAGGATTTGATCAGGTGCTTAAAATTACACTTAAAGTGACATTAA